TAATGAGGAACTGCTGCTCTTGACTTCGTTCTTGTAAAAGGAATCACCAGATAAAAGTGACACTGCTGTGGGGCGGGGGAGTTTTAGCAAGCAGTACTGCTGGGAGGAAGCATATAGTGAATCTGTTGCTGTGGCTTATAGAGCAGATGCACTCGGATGCCCTTTGGGACTGAATCCCAATTTTCAACTTGAAAATTATGAAGCACCACAGTTGCCTCAAATCTACTCATTTTAAACACAAATTCAGGCTGGTGTACTCTTCCCTCCAGTACAGAAAGAATCAAAAGGCCAGAACAGTATCAGACCTCACAACCCTTCAGGAGACTCACTGCCATTAGCTAGGCATTACAGCTCCTATAAGCTGCTCCTAATTGGGGAATGTATGTCATACATTGGAAAGGATGGCAGTGCTGTAACCACAGCCTTTGAACTGCAAGGGCAGCATGCCATACAGAAAGGCTCCACTCTTCCTGCAGCCTGGTACCCTCTCTGAAGCCTCTGGGGCCCCCTGTTTCATTGTATTTGCAAGAGGGGCCTCTCCAGTGAGTAGGTGACAGGGTTCAGAGGACTGTGTCACTTTCTGGCTATTTTGTGCTGGGATTTTCTCTCTCCCTTCTGCTCTGCACAGCAAAAGAAAGCCCCAAGATACTGAATGACAAGATGGACTGCCATGTTTTTGGCAGCATCACTCCTATTCTGTGATCAGGTTCTTACTGTATATATCGTTTGAGTTCTTGGCCACTGCAGCGCGACCAGTGGTAACGATGAAATGCAGCCTGCACCAAGGGAGCCATGACACTCCCCATTGCTGTTTCATCCCCACATCTGTTCCCTTGCCCATCATGCTCCATTCCCAGCCTGCAACAAAGAACAGATAGAGATTGCACTACACACATAATTCATACACAAAAGGGAGGAGCTGAGGAGGCATTTTATATGGCTATACAGGTGTGTTAGCAAAGGATTTAATTTTTAGCATTGAGAGAGAATGCCTGCTCCTTAATTGGACTTTTCCAGCAACACCAAAATAATTTGGAAAAGGCAGACAGGTCCATAAATCTTGTTTCATTTATGGTTTGCTAATTTTATTTTCAACTAATAAATCAAAATCTATTTAGAGGATGAGGTGGTCTTGTGTTTTTGATACTGTAAAACAGATGCTCTATTAAATAATAGAGGACTACTTGTTCAGCTGTTTGGGAGCCCACAGTTGCATGCATATTTACACAGTCAGACCTTCAATGACTGTCATAAATTCAGCCAGCTAGCTAATGAGGACCTTTTGCTGAAACAGTTGTAGCAGACTCAACGCACCATTGTTTTTTGATGCATGCCAAATCCAACTGTGGGATACACGATATTTCATGGCTTTCCATTTTTAAGTATTAAAAGCCATTATATTATTTTCAAGGGATTCCTATTCTAGTTATTCTTCATTACCTAAATCTCCTGTGCAACACAAAGGAGCAGAATGGAAATATACTGGTTCAGAAATCTGGCATAGCTAGAACCCAAAGAGAATTAAACTATTTGTATGCAAACAAGAAAATAAACCCTAAACTCAATGTTACTCAGGATGTAATAGTCAGACTTACACATGACCAGTTTCATGGGCGACAACAAAAGCTGAAGAAAACCCATCCTCGTGGTTGAGAGTGCAGCTTCTCACAGGATGACACATGCCAGTGACAGGGGCATATCCTGTTGACAGCAATAAAGTTTGAGTTTTTCTGTTTACATTATTAACTAGATGAGCCAACGACAGTTATACTCACATCTTTATCTCTTAGAGATTAACATGTCTCTAAGACTAGTTGACAGACTTTGCCTATGAAAGCTCATGTGTCCCTAAACTAGTTAGTTTCTAAGGTGCTACCCTAACCTGTCCTGCCTCCTGCCCAACTTCTTCAGATTAACATTGATAACTACCTCTGTCTTTTCCTCTGAAGAATACAATGTAAAGCAACAATCAGCTGCCCATTTCCCTGCTACAGGATGAGATTTGGTCAGCTGCAAATGTCTGAGTCTCTAGCAGACTTGGAGAATAGACTGATGAACTTCTTTTGGATGGTAATAAATAGCCTCGGGCTTTGTTTTATTAATATCTGTCTGGGAATCTCATTTTCTCAAAGTCTGTTATTTTCAACATACTAACCATCTCCATTACTTATGATTCAACCACAGTATGAAATCACCTGACAAAACTCCACTACTATACAGCAGTAGAGGTTGGCTCATCAGCACTAAACCAATTAGCCCAGCTCTATCAGAGCTTGGAGAAGCCTTCTTCGAGATAGCTATAGCAACCCACTCCTGAAGTAGCATGGCCTCTCTCATTTTCATGTTCTGGCACTGATATTCCAGGCACGTTCCTCGCCCAGCTCCATGAAGGGCCGGTTTCCTCACTCAGAACTTGAGTTCTGGAGCCACAATTACTTGTTCCACATTGTCAAGAAGATGAGTTCACTGCACTGTGCCAGACTCTATACAGAATATCTAGTGATTGCAGCATGCCAAAACCATCTCAAATCTACCACGTTGGCATCTAGCATGAACAAACCCCTTCCTGAGATCTGCTGCCACCTTCCAAGGTGTTTATCCCATCTTGACACCTTTGCCACTCCCCATACTGTCTCCCAGCATCCGGTTCTAACAGTGAAGTGACAAGGAAGTTTCTTTGATGGATCAATCACTTTTTCACCAGCTGGAAGAGACAGAGGCAAGAAGTCTGCAGACCCAGAAGTGCCTCAGGTAACTGTTACCCAGAAGCCTGGGTTAGAGAGATGATTTGCCACAATCTGTACGCCAATCTGAAGAAACTCAAATCAGTGAAGTGTCAAGAGCCCTGGTATATGTCCTTAAAATCCCAAACACAGGTAACTGCAGTGCCTCTGTGGAAGTGGTTACATACAGATATGAGTTGTGTGTGGCTCTATAATGTTGATGCGTGCTGGCAGGCTTGGCAAGCCTAGAGGCATGTACCCAGGACCAAAGATGTGGGTATACTTTTCACTGCAAGCATATTCCTGAATGCAGTGAATTGTCTTCCTAGGTCTTTGTTGTACTGCTTCACAGACCATTGCTACAGGAAGATAAAGCCATAGCTCTCATCTCCTTGATACCTGTTTTGGCATTTTGCTCCTCAGTGAAAAGCAGGAACAACAAGTACACTAGAAGGAGAAGGAAGTTCATTTGCTTGCCTCTTCATGACCTCCGCAGAGGCCAGTCATGTTCCGGCTCTGAATAAAACCTTTTGTTACAATCTGTTCATCCCACTGTACCACTGACTGGAGCTGAGGAAATGGAAACAACTGCTTGCACTGGATAGAAAAGTGAGAGAGAAGAGATGGCACATTTCCAGGTCCCCTCCTCATGGCTTACATTTAATCAGAAACCACATAGAGTCTGCACATTCTATTTTTTGAAGGTCAAACCAATGCCATGTTCCAATCTTTCTTTATCCCCTTTCTTGGTGTAATGAATAATGTGTGTAATAGCAGATGAAACCAAGGTGCAGACTGCAGAGCCTTGAGGATGGCTAATATGGACTATAAATCTCGGAAACTCCAAGGGGCTTGGGGGTGGGACAGGAAAGCAAGCAGGAGCCAGAAGCTATGGCCCGAATAAGAAGTGAACAGTGTTTGTAACCCCTGCACATGAAGATGAGTCAGATCTACCTAAGGTGCACAGTGGAGCTTAGGATCCTACTGGCTTGATCAGCCAGGGCTGTGGACTGAAGGAGCTGGATTCAAACTGGGAGGCAGCTGCAGGCTTCAGCTGTTTGAGTCCCCAGGACTAAAGGCTTCTTTGGGGGCACCTCTGGCGATGTCAGGAGGGAAATTAAAGTACTAACTGTATATTACTATAGTTGTTGATGTTTTTGTATCTTTTACCTGTTCCCTCCCTTAGGCCTGTTGGTCTGTGATCCCAACCCCTATGATATTCGGTATAAAAATGGGTATTCCCCTGTATGTCATGCCAATTTCTGATGCTATGGGGTTGGCACATTGGCATATATTATTAAAAAAAATATACATATTTCTACTATAAATTGGTTGCATTACCTTGCATACCAGCTGGCCCAAAATCCTGCCTGGTTAGAAATATGGCATGATCATGGTGCTCAGAATGATTAGGGTCCGACTTCTGCTGCTGATATGCCCAACGGCAAACATTTTCCAGGCTTCTTGATGGGTTTCCCCTTTCGATCAAGCTGATGGACTAAACAAACAATGTATTAAAACCCAGAGCTTTGTCCTGTGTGTTCCTTGGAATTGGGAATCTGGCAGCTTAAAACAGTTATTTTGCCTTGGGGAACTGCTCCTTGAGCAACCACCCAATTTTCTCCACCTCATTTCAGGCCAGCCCTTTTCTCTATTGGTAAGGAGATGTGTTCTACTACAGTTTATTAAGGATATCCACCCTCAAGGCCTTTTTCTCTGGTCTACAGTCAACTGCTTACAAAGGGGCTGTGAAAAGCTGCTAGATAATGACATAATTAGGTTATCTAAATTTCTCTTCCTTTGAGGTTACTTCTTATCACTTTTCTTTGCTCCTAGTTTACAGCCCTCTTCCACTTCCTTAGGTGCCTGTTTTCTTTTACATATGGAGTTAACTCCTCACTTCTGAAGAAGCCTATTTTGTGTCTGAAACCTTGTTTATCATCTCTCCCTACTATAGTCATTGGCATTCTTCCATACAAGGATGACAGTCTACCATTACACAAGGAAGTCATCAGTGAATATGAATGTGACTGATGATGGCAACCTGATTGATTGTACGTATAGCAAATAGTTCTAAGAGGAAGGAGTAGATGCTGCCAATGTCAGGTCACCACTCTTTTGTTAGGTCATGGGGCCTCAGCCTGACTGATATGGCCACTCATCCCAGCCTGTCACCCTACAGCTAACCACCCAACCTGGGCAAGGCTCGCCTGTCACTTGAGTTGCTGGTCAGGGTCAGCTGACCCTTCATCTCCACCATATAAGTCGCCACACAGGAAACAGAAAGTGTCTGGATAACAGGGCTCAACCAGAATGTGCTCTGCTTGATTTACTGGCTTCTTGACCCACCTTACTCTTTGACTCCACCCTCTTCCTGATCCCCTGGCTTCCTGATTCAGCCTACTCCTAGACCCTGTTCTCAGATTCACCTCCTGACTTTCTGACCTGGCTTGCCCTGTAATCTGCTTATTCCAACCCCAGTTGGCATCTCGATTTCTGAGTTGCCCAAGACTCAGGCTACCCACAACCTGGTGTGACATCTTTCCCTTTCTTCTATCTATCTCTCATAATCTGCCTTCATAGTAAGGCAAGTTTGCTCAAAATAATTTATGTCTTCCTGTACATCACATTGCCACTTGGGACAATTCAGTGCTTGAGTCTCCCAGGTATTGATATTAATATTGCAATTCTTGACAGCCACTAGTTGGAGGTGATCTAGGCAAAGCTATTCCTATATTCTACTACGGGTATTTCCCATGCTTCTGGGCTTTGCTGGTTGCCCTCACATGTCCCCTCTACCCTACTTCTGCTACAGAGGTTGGGTGTTTTTAAGCCTTCCTCAGAGGCATTGGGTGTTAGCTACAGCCAAAGCTGGGGACTTTGACTAGGGTGTGCCAGTGCTTTTGCTGGGACCAAAGCCAGAGGTTCTTGGCTACACGGCTTTGCCCCTCTGCTCAGGGTCAGACCAATCACCATATTTTGGGTCAAGGAAGGAATTTTACCCCATGGTCAGACTGTATGGACTGTAGGGAGTTTTGCCTTTCTCTGTAGTGGGGTTGTGGCCCTCTACCTGGGATTTCTTGAGCATATATTGACAACATATAAAAGCAAGAGGAGCTGCAGTGGTTCCCCTGCTTTACTTGTGGCAAGTTCAGGTGATAGGTCTGTGTTGTGTCAGGGCTGATGGTTGTCTTACATAGAGTTTACATTATGGTTGAATGGAATGGTTTGGAAAGGGATGATCCTGTTTCAGGCAGGGGTTTGGACTAGATGACCTCTGGAGGTCCCTTTCAGCCCTACTTCTCTATGATTCTCTAGCACAGTGACCATCAGTGAATCGGGAGAATAGCACCTGTTTTGAGAGCCTGTTGTCAGGCATCTTTATGACATGTCCTGTCCAGTGGAGTTGGTGCCATATAAACATGGCTTCAATGCTGGTATTTGCTTGAGCCAAAACATTGGTGTTTGTTTTTCTGCTGTTCCAAATGATATGGTGGATTTTCTGAAGACATAACTGCTTGGTCATCACTCATCAGTGATGTCTCCCTACTATACAGTTGGCCCAATAAAAGGTCTCACCAAAAAACCCAGATCAGAGTGAAGACATTTTACACAGGCTTTGCCCAGGTGTCCAGGCCTACACAGAGAGCAGGACAGCCTGGCATCAGGACCCTTAATCTAATGATGTCCCCCTTCCCAAGATGTCCTCTTCCAACTGCTACTTTGAAATGTCCCCCTTCCCAAGATGCTCTCTCCCAACTGCTACCTTTGTTTAACAGCAGGGTGTTAGGGCAGTTAACTGGCTGGTGTGGGAGGGAACTTTTTAGTACATATCATAAGAAGCATTTATATTATAGGGGCTTTTTCATATGAAACATGTTATATGCAGGACAAACAAACAAAATAATTACTAAATCAGGACATTTGAAATCACACAGCTGGGATCTGCTTACATTATAAGCTGCGCGAAGTGAACACGCCCCTCAGTTAAGACTAAGTGCAGGGACACATTCAGCCTGCAGTAATCTGCAAGAGGAGATGAAATGATAAAAACATACAGGGCAGAGCTTCAATTCGTGCAAAAATAATTCTAGCCTCAAGGAGTCTGTGCTGATTTACACTATATGAGAATCTGGTCCATGGCCAATTCTTGTTACATTACACACACACACACGTATTGTGTGGTCAATGGAAAAGTGATCATATTTAACCATTAAGAAAACACTGAAATGGCCTCTTCTATTACCCAAGTTTAATGTCCTATTTAAAATGGAAGTATGTGATCTCTACTACAGGACAAAGCCAGATGCCTCCTTTAGGCCTGAATAATTTTATAAGCATTTATAGCAACACACTCTGATTGCTTTTTAACAGCAAAATTCAAGTCAACAGTATTATGAGGATTACTTGGGGCAGAGTAGGAGGGGGCCCAATATTTCTTCTGGAAAGGAAATATCTTTCTAATGATCCCTATGGAGAGGTTACACTGGTATATTGCCCTTGTCAATGAAGACAATATCATTTGCTTTTACAGTAACTGGCTGGATTTCCTAAGGGCTTTTGCTGGCAGAGGCTCTGATGGAACAAAGCTTGGCCATGAAGATGTTACAGAGATGCAAGGCATCTGCAAGCCCCTTTCTGCCAGTGGGGTCTTCTGTCAGCTTCGAAATTGGGTGGCATTGGCAAGGTAAAGACACAGACTGTATACCCAGGAGATGCACCAACTAGGATAGGGCTGTCCAAATGGCAGCCTGTGGGCTGTATGTGACATGTGAGAGGTTAAATTGCAGCCCCCAGGCTCCCATCTGGCCACAATCTCTCCTGACGCCTTGGCTGCTTTACTAGCCAGTGTCTTGGCTCAGGCTCATTCTTTCAGCTTTGCATTCTGTATCCGCCCCACAGGGCAGTATAGCACATGGGCATACACTGCAGCGAGTGGCAGGGAGAACACAGGTACAATGTGCAATAGAGCATGTGACCTAGGAGCCCATGACCCTCACTGATGTGGCCTGCCGAGTGAGCAGCCCCTGCTAGTATGACCTGCAGGCCCATGACTGCTTAGAAGTTGGACAGCTCTAAACTAGGAGAATCTTCTACAAAGCTTCCACTGATTGGGTTCCTAGCCTGTTCTCTGCTTGGGGTATGCTACTTCATAGTCACATCTGCCATTTATTGATTACAGGGGATGCAAATGAGAGGCACCCTCCAGGCACCATCTGAAGCAATCAAGTTCAGAATAGATATTGCGAAGCAGCATTTAAATAAAAAGGTTTGGTACCACAGTACAAAGATATACTGCTTAAGGAGACTCCAAATAGTTTGAATACACTTAGCATTGTGGAGACAAAAAATTACCATCATCTTCCAGCTGATCTGTGATAAAATAGTTTGGATGCAGCTCTGTAATCAGTTATGTATCAACATTAAAAAATGCACCTTGCCTGAAGCCTCAGTTAAGAGTACATTCATCAGATTAAGCCTGAACTTCATATTGAACCAGTCTTCTCAGAAAGTTGCCCCAGGCATTACAACTGCTAGTCTCTACAGCTCTGAATCCAGAAGCACTCACAGCTCCTAAACTAATTTACAAGTAAAGGCAATTATGAAAAGTATTACAATGGAGAGTTCAGTCAAACACCTTTTTACCTTTGCATAACCCAACATTATCATTCGCACCAGCACCACATTGATGTGGACACCCAAGGATTCATCATGGTAAATTTCATTCACCTAAGAAAGAAAAATAAGAGATTAAGTAGAAACAACAATGGGATAAAAAGGAATCCTCAAATGAGCACACAAGATAATATAACATGCCTCCACATAAAGCTGTATTCTGCTCAAAGTACAATTCAAGTCTCAGATTATCTGCATGCAATGAGGAATGTGCATTACACTTCCTTTCACAGCAAACCTACAACATAGGGACCTGTTCAAAATCTCTTAATGCTAATATAAAATGCCCTATTGACCTTAATGGGCTTTGGAGCAGGCCCACAGCAAAGGTGGTCCTTGAGGTTCATAAATGCCCCGGACCTACAAACATTTAAACAGATGTTTAATTTTATTCACAGCTGTGGTTCCATTGATGTAAATGAGAATATGCAGGTAAGAAGTACTGGAGGTATAACATTAATTCAGTAGCTATTTTCTGTTTTTGTAATCAAGTAAAATAATTAAAGGTAAAACCATTGTGGTCCTCTGTCAGAAAAACAATTCTCATCACATTTCCCAAAGGCTCTTTTTTCCCAGATGGCTTAGCAGAAGATTGCTCAATTCCTGGCCTACAGGCCAAATGTAGCCCCACCACCATAACTTCTGTCTTGTAGGGCTCCCCATGGAGCTGTGGGAAGCCCCAGAGACCATAGCCATGCATACTGGATTGGGCAAACACAGCCTGACCCCAGCAGTGGCAGGGCATGTGGGGGCAGTGTGGGATCCCAGGAGCCAGAACCTGGTAGGGTGGAGGAGGTGAAGGGCTCCTGGAACCCAATACTGGCCAGGTGAGGCTGGGCAGAGGCAGTACAGGGCCCCTGGGGCCCAGTCCCAGTGTGTGGGGCCCGATCTGGCCTGTGGACCAGCCCCATGCCATTTATCTGGCCCATGGGGCCAAAACTGTGAGCACCACTGGCTTAGAGAACAGGCTGTATATGCTTTATATTACGCAAAAATATGCACCGAAAGGAATTTAGTAAGGTAATAGAAGTAAAACACTCAAAACTTAGGAAATGTTACAATTAAGCTTGCCCATGCATGTTACTCTTTTATACATGTGCATGATGCTACAAGACCAGATTCCATTCCACCTATTAGGTGCCTAAGTGGAGTTAGCCCCCCTAGCTGCAGTCGAATTCCACTATGCTCAAGTCCCTAGAAACCATTAATGTTTATAATTTGGTAACATGCCATCAATTTAGCCTTTCGATTAAAAGTCATAAAAATATACTGTGGAGGAAGACCCATCTGCCTTTTGGATTAATAGTTTTTCAGGGACTCTGAGCAGGGTGGAATAGGTTCACAGGGAAATAAGTCCACTTGGTATGGACAAGCGTACCTTTTAACTGTTGTTCTGTAGCAATACAAGTGAGCTAAATTGCCCCAACTTCGGCCTCAAATAAAACACGGTTAAAGCTATAACCTACAGCAAGCACACCAAGCAAGCGGAGTCTCCATACTTCTCTGGGCAGAGAACTCTGTTCTAAGGGTATATCGACACTACATAGTGCAATGCAACATAATGTTACCGAAGCTAGCTCAGCTACCAAGCACGTAAGTTAGCCTGGGCAAGGCACTGCAATGCTATACTACTTCTGGTACCTGAGCTAATAGAGCTAGCTTGGGTATCAGTAGTTAGCAAAGCAATCTGCAGTGCAGACACCACCTAAACATAGTCACTTTCCTAGACCACATTCATTTTCAGAGTGTTTTTTTCTGTTGTCCAGAGATTCCTTTCCCACCCAGCCCAAATGGAGATTTCAAGCATGGCATCTGGCCACTTGAATTGTTGATGAGTTTCAGAATCTGTTCCTAATTGCTTTGTCTAGCGATTTTCTAATTTCAATTAACTTAAACATTTTGCATTATTGCATTCGATGGAAGCTTGTGTTCCTTTCACTATTTTTAAAGCATGCTTTTAAAAAAAAAAAAGAAACCACAGTCAAATTCTACAGCAGACAAATTAACTGCAGGACATGTTTTTCCTCCCTGTGAAGACCTCAGGATTCAGCTCAGTATTTCTATATTCTAAAGCTACCTGTGAGGGGAAAAGTGTTTTGAGAATGACACAATGTCCTAATTCTTTGGGAGTGTTTGTTTATTGATGTAAGTCAGTCATTTTCAACCTTTTTTCAGACTCAAGGCAACCTCTCATTATACTCAAGGCACATCCTCAGAAAATGCCAGCTCTTACCTTTCATTCATTTTTTGATTAGGGAAAAATAATAGCACAATTCTTCTTTCGCAAAGAACTAAGACAGACCACAACAGTTCAGAATGCACTTGACAATATGTATTCCTATTTAAAATCTCTGGGTTTATCTTGAGAATCATGGGTAGGTGTTTGTACCCCACAGCACCCTTAAAAAAAGATTTTCAGGGCACCCCAGAGTGCTGCAGCACCTGGTTAAAAATCACTGATCAAAACAGTCCCATTGACTTCAAATCAATTGAAATATATGGAAAAAGGGTTTCCATTTCCCTAGACAGCTTTTAAATTCTCCTCTGACAGTTTCAAGTCAATAGCATAGCTAGAGAAGAAATATAGAAGCACTGCACCTCAGCTAGCATGTTAATGATATCCCTGACACACTCAATTGTCCTCTGTCACAACACATTCCATATAAAAAGTCCTTTAACATTGTGAAAAGATGTAACATTTAGGTGCTTTGGAAAGAGTTACTGTGCAGAAATCACTTCTGTTAGCCTAAGCAAGTACCCATCCACAAGTGGATTGCACAAGACCACCCCAGGACCACAGCTCCACTGTGCTGTAGAATTAGAAAGAATAAGCTATTAAATCTTAAATCACCTGACACAGCAATCCATAAAACCAAACAAAGCACTGATGTTTGGCCTCAGAGGACTCCAGTGGGAGCTGCACACATGCACTTTAGCACTGAATGTTGCCTATTTCTTCTAAGAAAATGAACACACTTGCCTTCATGATGAAGGCAAAAAATTCACAATAAATAACCATACAATTCTAACAGGAACATTTTCAGATGTGGAGTGAGTGGAGGAGAACAAGAATAATACAGGTGAGTCAGGAAACAGCCTTCTTCTGGCCTACCCATGTACTTGTGCAAATGGAAGAAGAAAGTCAAGGAAGGACATTCCATAATTGTATAAATTAAGGTCAGAACATTTGTAGGTTGAAAATGAAGGTGCTCATCCTCTTCAAATGAACTAAATTAGTGGTCCTCGACCTGTGTGTCTGATGGGCTAGATGGGCAGTGCCCAATCCCTCCGGTGGGCCAGATCTGGCCAGTGGACCCAATTTGGCTACTGGGGCAGGTGCAGGAGGGCCCCATCTGGCCTCACATGGGCAGTGGGGGAGGCAGCCTTGCCTGATCCAGCCATACCAGGAAAAGGAGCTTGGCCCAACCCTAACCCAGACCCACTGTGGTAGGCGGGGCAGGAAGGGTCATGACCCAGCCCTGATCCAGCCCTGCAGAAGGGACATGGCCTGACCTCAAGGGAGGACAGGGCTGTGGCCCAATCTCACAGTTGGGAGGAGGCATGATCTGTCCCTGAACCAGTTGCACGTTCAGGGATGAGGGAAGCCTATTCCCAGCCTGGCTGGGCAGAGGGAAGGGAGCATGGCCCAGACTGCAGTGTGGAGGAAGAAGGGGGTGTGGGCTGCCCTAAACCAACTTTGCAGAGAGAGAGAGCATGCCCTGGCCCCAACCTGGCTGTGCAGTGGGAAAGGGGCATGGCCCAGCCCCGATCTGGCTGTGCATGGCCGGGGGGTGGGGAAGGGGAGGTCATGGGCAGGCTGCAGCCTAACACATGGGGTTTGGGATTTTAGCAGAGGGAAGGGGTAGCAGTATTAACTGCCACTGCTCCCCTGCTGCCAAATTTCCCAACCCCTGGGGAGCCTTGTGGGCTAGATTCCAAGGCTGTGTGGGCAGCATTTGGCCTGCAAGCCAGAGGTTGAGCACCCCTGAAGTAAATTCCATTATGGGCTAAGTGATGTAAAATAGATGCCAAATGTTCAGAGGGAGGCCAGTATAAGTTTACAGAATGTACAGAATTAAGAAATATTTTTTAGTCGGACTGAACAGACGTTTCTCCTAGAGGTGCAGTGAGGCATTGGTTCAACATTGGATCATTATCGATGTAAAGAAAATTAGCTGTATTGGAAATGAGCCTGATGGGGCGGATAATTTGGACAATAAATGCCTGTGCTACATGCAGCTGCAGTGCAGCACTTAGGCAGCGAGGAGCAGAGCCAGCAGTGTGGAGAGCTGCCTCCAGCTGGTAAGTCTGGTGTGGTGAAAGGGGAAGGGGGAGAGAAAAGGCATGGGGGGCAGATCAATGCCCCTGTGGTGAGGGAGGGAGGGGGAAGGCACTGCTTAGCTGTGGTGGGCATGGGATAGAGCCATGGCTCGTGGGGGGGGGGGCGTGTAGCAGGGCACTAAGGTACCTGCTACTGGAGGTAGTGTTACGAGCTCAGCTGCCAATCACCAGGGCAGTGCAGGTGCGGGTTGCCCTGACAACTGGTCTGGTCAGCTGACCAGAAGGGGGCAGGGCCTGGCCTTTATCAATAGCATAGGCCGAGGCCAGAGGCCAGTCCCCCTCTGGCCACCAAGGAGGTAGGAGCTCGGGAAAACCCTGATGGGGATGTACATGGAAGCAAGCCAGGTTGGCTAGGAATTTATGTTATAGCCCAGGGTTTTGTGCTTATGGTTTTAGTTGTTCTGGCGCGAGAAGCACGGTGTCACCAGAGGATTGGGCGAGGCTGTAGGGGTGGAGGAGGCCTCAGTAGGAGCCCCCCCAGTAAGGTAGGGGGTGCTCCGAGCACCAGGGAGGGTGCTGCAGTGGGTGCGAGAAGTGCGAGTAGGAGCCCAGTGCGGGCTATGCGGGCACATGGAAGAGACCCCAGTGCGGGCTACGCGAGCACAGGGAAGAGGCGCAAGAAGTGCGAGCAAGAGGCCCAGTGGATGGGGGGCGTGAGAAGCCCGAGAGGTGTGAGAAGCGCGAGCAAGAGGCCCAGTGGGCGTGGGAGCGAG